TATGTGCCAAGCAGTGTGTTAAGTTTTTACTATATTAATTTATGGGTTATCTAGCTTGATTCTTGCAGGTTAATATTCTTATGAGGAAATGTTGCTATTCTTCTCATCTCATAGATAAGGAAATGGCTTAGATGACAATTTTAGAATTCCCAGGGCCACACAATTACAGGAACCAGGATTTGGAACCAGGCAGGTTGGCTTTAGACTTCAGGGGTGGGGAACATCCGGCCCGCCAAGACATTAGGGGTGAGTTAATTAAATGTTTGACCAAATATAACAGGCTAATTTATTTTTATTTTAAAAATTAATTTCAAAGAGGAAAGGGGAGGGAGAGATAGATATGTCAATGATGAGAGAGAATCATTGTTCAGCTGCCTCCTGCATCCCCCAACTGGGGATCGATTGAGCCTGCAATCTGGGCATGTGCCCCGACTGGAAATTGAACCATGACCTCCTAGTTCATATGAAGCTCAACCATTGAGCACACTGGCGGCCAGGCTAATTTTTAAGTTGATAATTTTGTATGGCCCGAAAATGATGTTATCTATCCAAATGGCCCTTGGCAGAAAAAAGGTTCCCACTCCTGCTACAGAGCCTATGGTCTTTCTTGTTACATTTAAGGGGCAAATGAAAGTTTCTAAGTGAGAGATCAGCATATTTGTAGTGGGGTAGTAATGCGGAAGGAAAGACTGAATAAACTGGAGAGGGGATGAGATTCATTCATTCAGCAGCTGTTGAATGAGTGTCTACTACATGCTAGGAGCAGTGCTGGGCACTGGGGTCAATGGTGAACTGGCTGGACCGGAGCCAAACCTCGCAGAGCTTGGCCTGGCCTGAGCCGGGGTGTTCACAGATCAGGAAACGGTAGACACAACAGACAGGAGGGAGCTTAGTTCAAGAGGAGGCACACTTCTTCCTCTGACCCAGAGAGGGCCCAAGGTTGAAAAAGTGTAAGGAGGGGAGAATTTGTTGGTGAAGATATCAGGAAATAAGAACGTGGGCATTTCTTGATTTAAAAAATATTTTTTTTCTGATCTCTTAAAAAAAATTGCATTTATTTTTTTCCGAGAGAGAGAGAGAGAGAGAGAGAGAGAGAGAGAGAGAGAAACACAGATTTGTTGTTTCACTTATTTAAGCATTTGCGGGCTGATTCTTGTAATTTATGTGCCCTCCTTGGGGCCCAGTCCTCACAGGGCTCCGTCTGGCCTGAGTGGAGGCCAGGAAATGGTGGACCACAAGAGGCAGCAGGGAGCTCAGTTCTCAGAGGAGGTACATTTCTTCAAACTCACAATCTTGGTGTGTCAGGACGATGCTCGAACCAACGGAGCTACCCAGCCAGAGCCTTAAATGTTTAGAATTGTCATGAGAGCCATTCTTAAAATTTTAGATCACGGAACCTTTTGAGTATCTAATGAAGCTATAGATTCTCTCCAGAAAAATGCATTCACACAAGGAATCCATCAGCTCCTGAGGTACAGATTATATAGCTTTGTCTTTGAGCCAATGGGTTAGGGAACCAAGTCCACAGAGGAGAGGCAATCCCAGCCTCACTACTCAGTTTAGACCTTCAGCATGTCTAAGAGATTGACAGGGAGAGGCTAGGACACCGGCCAGGCCAAGAGGAATGCTCCCGTTTCTCTCCACGCCCAACACCCTCCTCCTCACTTACGGGATCTGGAGTCACTGACATGGGTCTGGGGTCTGGTTGGCAAGAGCCGAGGCTTCAGAGCTGGAAACAGAGCGGCAGAGTCCACCCAACAGAACTCTTGTTCCACCTTCTGAGACTTATCTCCCCTCAGAGCCTGAAATGCGCTTCAGAGCTCTGCCTGCAGGCTCTCTGCTTCCACTTTCATTTCTGGGAAGTCCCTGCCCATTTCGTGCTCACATGGCCAGCTGCTTTTCCCCACCCCTGGGAGGAGACTTCCCGGTCTCTAAGTCAACTTCATTCAGTTACGTGGCCTTAGGGCAGCAGTTCTCAACCTGTGGGTCGTGACCCCTTTGGGGGTCGAACAACCCTTTCACAGGGGTCGCCTAAGACCATCGGAAAACACATATATAATTACATATTGTTTTTGTGATTAATCACTATGCTTTAATTATGTTCTATTTGTAACAATGAAATCGGGGGTCACCACAACATGAGTATTAAAGGGTCGTGGCATTAGGAAGGTTGAGAACCACTGTCTTAGGGGAAACTACCTTACTAAACGCAAACTAAACTCTGGCCCAATCAACCATTCCGAACCTTTCCATCCCAGAAGCCCATTCGTAGAAATCTTGTCTGCTTGGTTAATAGATATTTCCCTAGAGCCCAGAATAATGCCTGGCACACGCAGACATTGATAAAACAACTGAATGACAAATGCAAGCAGGACAAAGCCACTCCAAGTTCACAAAGTTGTTACAATAGCATTTATTGAGCGCTGCTGTGTCCAATACTGGTTCTGTTTTGCATGAATTAAACTCAATCTTCAAAACAACCTCTTAGTTCTTTCCAGATTTTACAGATGAGATCCTACACTTCTGAAGGACATAAACTTGCCCACTGTCACATTATAGGAAGTGAAGCATGTATCCAAACTTGGACAGTATTTGAACTTGGGCTTTGAGGCATGAGAACTTGAATTTTTAATCAAAGCAGGGTTTAAACTCATTTCCACTTGGGACTCGAGTACAAGCTAACAGGAGGGTTTCAATAGAGATGCCCAATACTTAAAGGTGAGAGGAGCCAAACTAAAGCACATGAAACACTGTATTTTCATCTAGTCCAGGGTCTTTACACCAGTAACTTATGAGCCCTTCTCACAGCGCCCCCTCCAGGTGGAAGTGTGCCTCAGGCTGGGCAAATAGTTTCACCGTGACTGAGAACCAGCTCAGCTGGAGAGCCTCTCATCCCTAAAACAGGGTCACAAGTATCCCAAGCCCTCGAGAATCACACCCTTTAAAAAAAAATTAAAATACTGATTTCAGAGGGAGAGGGAAACGATGAGAATCATGGATTGGCTGCCTCCGGTACATCCCCTACTGGGGATTGAGCCTGCAACCCTGACCACCTGATTCATAGATCGATGCTCAACCACTGAGCAACACCTGTTGGGTACACCCTTTTTTGGGCCAGTCTCTGCTAGCCCAGGCTGTTAGGGGACCTCTCCCTGGTCCCACTAGAAATGGCTGCTCTTGGCCTGGCCCCCTCCAGTGTGGTCCTCATTGGAGGAGCACCAGTATCACCAGACAACTTGCTAGAATTTATTACCAACTAAATCTGACCCATAGGGTGACTCTGGTTTGACAAACCACCAGTGCTAAGGTGTGAGAACCTCAGGTTAGTTCTCAATCTGAAAGTCAGTGCACATCACTCAGAGGGGCGTTTGGTTGTCCTCTGGTGGTGGGTGGGCAGGTTCTCTAAGGACGTAAAGAGCTGAAGTCAGGGATGCCAAAAAACTCTGCACCTAAAAATGTCAACAGTAGCCCTTTTGGGAAGCGGTTCATTAAAGGATCATCAAGCTGAGAACTAGCTGAAGTTTCCCAAAGGCAGATTTAACTTTTATATTTTTTCCACAGACCCTCATCCACCAGCCTTTTATCTTACGACCATTCTCCTTTCCCAGATGAATAAATAATACATGCAACAGACAGACACGGATATTGTTTTTGGATTTTTAATGACAGAAACAAAATATATCTAAAACCGCAGCTTCTGGAAGAACCATTTGTTCTTGCCGGTCTTGTATCTAGTGGGAAACAAGGACATCAATGAGAGGAGGGAGAGACAAATTTCTCTTTATGGGACTTAGCAATACCACACCCCAATATCCACCACCAAAACCTAACTTACCTCTCTTCAAACTTGACTTTGGCCTCCCGCCGGGCCTTGCGTTTTAGAGCAGGGTCTCTGAACACGTCCTTGTTGACAACAGTTTTGTCCAAGGGGATATCCACAGAGTACCTGGGGACAATGGTGGGGGGTTGGATTAGCCCGTATGCTGCCAGGGCCTCCGCAGTCACCCAAGTCCTCCTGGGACAGTCGGGTACCAGGTTCTGCCTCCACAGGAACAATTGTCAAAAGCTATCCCAGCAGTAACCAGTTTGCTCAGTGGATAGAGCGATGGCCTGCGGACTGAAAGGTCCTGGGTTGGATTCCGGTCAAGGGCATGTACGTTGGTTGCGGGCACATTCCCAGTGGGAGGTGTGCAGGAGGCGGCTGATCGATGTTTCTCTCTCATTGATGTTTCTAACTCTCTCTCTCTCCCCCTTCCTCTCTGTAAAAAGTCAATAAAAATATATATTAAAAAAAAAGTGTTTTTTTTTTTTTTAAAAAGCTATCCCAAAGTGCTGATAGGCTTGGGAAATCTCTAATGTTATGACTCATTTACATAAATTTAAGCCATTGGAAAACTTCACTGTCAATTTTCCCAACTACTTATTTTCTAGCTACGAACCATCACTGTATTAGAACTTTATTTGATTCCTAGTGGGTGGCTGGCTTTCTATTTAGAGCCATTGTATTTAGTTCTGTTCAAGTTCTGCCTACGCAAGGTGTCCCATTATGACAATGCAAGAGCTGGGCAGCTAGCTGCCTCAATCTCAGTTTTCCAGCACATGAGAAAGGGCCCTGCTCTCTTAGGTCAGCACATTAAGAGCAAACAGCAAGTCCCAGCAGCCACTTTAAGGCGCATGCTGCTGGGTTTGGCAATTCTTGTTCAGAGGTCTTTCAAATCTTGTATTTCTTTATCACCCTTGTACCAGGATAGCAGGTGCGCTGCACAATACTGTGAAAGGCCAGGAGATACAGGGCCTGGCAGTCAAATGAAATCAAGGGAGACTTGCTTTCCTTGGTTCATTTTTAAAAGCCTATAATAACTATCTGTGAGAACGGAACAGCGGAAGAGGTGGGCAGGCCAGATCCCATGCCTGTGTTTACTGTGGATGGAAACAAATCTTTACTCAACATTTAGAGTTTTCAGGTAAGAAAGACAAAGAGCAAGCCTGGAGATTTTCAATTAGGCTTGGCAAAGTTAGGGAAACCACCAAAGAAAATGACATGAACATGGTCCCAAGATGTATGAAAGGGACAAGATTGGAAACCACAGCCACTTTGTGACAAATTGAAAATGATGTCTCCCCCAGATGGCTGCAAGGTTGTCTTCAAACTTGACTTTGGCCTCCCGCCGGGCCTTGCGTTTTAGAGCAGGGTCTCTGAACACGTCCTTGTTGACAACAGTTTTGTACAAGGGGATATCCACAGAGTACCTTGTGGGCATCAGGTGATTGTAGTTATACACTTTCACAAAAGACTTGATCTTTGACCTCTTGGCAATTTTCTTCTTGCCCATGGCAGCTGTCACTTTTCGGGGGTAGCGGTCAATTCCAGCCACCAGGGCATGGCTGTAGGGGCGGTCCGAGGTGCCATCATCAATGTTCTAAATGAGCAAGATTTACATTTAGGATCAACTTAAAGCCTAGCTAGGCCCTGTGCTAGAGGCAGGCATGTACAGAAAGATCATCCCCACCCCCCGTCTCTGAGACCCACCATCTTACAGAGAAAAACCACATAAAGCAGACACACTAAGTGCTATGCCAGATGCCCAGAGCAGCGAGGGTTAGGGCGGCATTCATGCCCACCAGGAAGAATTGGGGCTCCTGGGAGCTAAGAGGTTTTAAAAGAATAGTTATCATCTATGAAGTCAGTCCTTGCGACCCGCCAAGCACTCTTTAGGAGCAGAGGCAGGCAGCCCAACTCGTCTCAAGAAGGTGGGGGGAGGGGAACCCGGAGTTCCAGTGTCCCCCAAACAGCTAAGAGCAGTGATATATGTGGTCAGACGTTAGGGACATTTCAAGAAGCTAAAAGATGAAGGCAGCAGGCAAACAGTGAAGGGCTGCAATACGCTAAATGACCATTTTGATAGAAACAATTCCTCCTCCTTTACAGAATCCCAGCTGCAGCACTTCCTGTCTGACCTCCGGTGAGTTAAGGAACATCTCTAAACCTTAACAGTAGGAAGAACCCTCTATGGCAGCGGTTCTCAACCTGGGGGTCGCGACCCCTTCACAGGGGTCGCCTAAGACCATCGGAAAACACATATATAATTACATATTGTTTTTGTGATGAATCACTATGCTTTAATTATGTTCAATTTGTAACAATGAAATCGGGGGTCACCACAACATGAGGAACTGTATTAATGGGTCGCGGCACTAGGAAGGTTGAGAACCACTGCCTAGGGTTACTGCAAAGATTGGGCACGAAAGCATCTGTAAGGCAGTGTACCAGGCACCAAGCAAGCGTTCAATAAGCGTTGGCCATTATTATTATTGAAAGCCTCTTTGGTAGAGAGCGCATTGTGTTAGGTGTCAACTTGTTTTTATTTTCCATTTTCCTCTTCCAAAAGCCCTCATGCATTCACCCCCACCCCTCCACGCAATGCTCAATGGCTCATGTCCCAAACTGGTTCTTGAATTCCAAGCTCGCGGTCCTCCGAAACCGGCCCAGTTCCGGGAAACACGGGCGCACAGGCTCGCAAGGATGGTACCTTCACGATGACGGCTTTGCGTCCGGAGTAGCGTCCGGCCAGGACCAGCACCACCTTCCCGGGTTTCATAAACTTGCCCATTTCTGCAGAGGAACAAGGGGCCCCTAAGAAATTCGCAAGCCCAGGCTGCGGGCTCTCGGAACTTCAGGCTGCGTTTACTGGCGTCCTGGCCCAGGCCGCCCACGGGCCCTGCTCACGAGACGGGATCCGCTACGAAGCCGCCAGAGACAGAGGAATGGAAAGTACTCGGAACCACCCCGCAACTCGCCCCCCAGGCCGCGGATGGCGGTGGATTGGAAGACCCTCCCCAGGGCTGCACTCACCGAACGTAGCCACTCGGGCCTAGAGCAGAAAGGAAAGAACCGCACTTCCGCTAACCTTTCACCCCGGAGGTGGTGATCTCACTTCCGGTACCGCCCCTTAAGCCTCGACCCGCCTCTTGCGAGGCCCTCAGACTCTGGTTGCTGGCGGAAGAAGCTTCTATGGGGAAAGCAGGGCCTGGCTGCTTCAAACTTTATTAGTAGATCCGGCAGAAGAAAAGAGCCAGGGAGTGCCGCCTATCGCCTACGGATGGAAGAGCAAGGAAGGCTTGTATGCTCCAGCCTTTTGTAGTTCCATTCTCTGACGCTAGGAGGGGACAGAATTTGAAATTTACTTTTTTGCCTTGGAATAGTCAGGGAGCAAAATAGAACTTTGTGTGTGTGTGTGTGTGTGTGTGTGTCCACTGTGTGACCTGCTGTTGGTCGTAAGGAGAGGGAGATGAGCATTAATCAAGCAAGGGTACTTGCCCCCGACATTTAGAGTGTCGTGATGTCATAGACATTACAAGCTAAACGGTGAAGGAGGTGAAAGACACTGATGGTGATAGCAGCTGTTTACCCTTTGCTAAATCGCGTTAACCTATTTACGGAAATTACCTCATTTGATCCTCATAACAACACTAAGAGATAGGTATTATCATCTCCATTCTACAGTTGAAGAAACTGTATCTTAGAGAAATTAAGTAATTTGCCCCAAGTCCACAGCTAGTAAGTAAGTGGTGGAGCTGGGACACAGACTCAAGCAGTCCTTCTGTTTACCCTGTCACTGACCCGAGCACCGACTCTGCTAGGCAGTTTAGGTAAGTCCACAGCCTTTTTAATGCTCACAACTCTGCATCTTGGCTATTTTCTTCCCATGTAGACATGAGGAAACTGAGATTCAGAGAGGATGGTACCTGAGATGGGATTCAAATTTAGGTTTGAACTCAGGTCTAGCTGGCTCTCAAATGGAATTATTTTCCATCACTCATTGGAAGTTTTTAAAAAGACTTCAGAGAAAAAGGGAGAGGGATCATCATCTGCTGCCTCCTGCATGCCCTCTACTGGGGATCGAGCCTGCAACCCTGGCATGTTCCCTGACCAGGTATCAGTGTGTGACCTCCTGGTTCATTGGTCGATGCTCAACCGCTGAGCCACACCTAGCCATGCTGGAAATGTTTTTAGATGTTTCTTTAGGTGTCTTCTAAGTTCAAAAGAAAGATAAATCATTTTACAGTTATTGCTCATCTGAACATTGAAAAATCTATAGGATTGGTCGTGGGCAAGATGTTGGACAAATCAGGGTTTCAATTTTTTATTGTTCTCCAGGGACTAATTTTTCCCTGCAGGCGTTAGGACCCCATTCCAATGGTTTATTCCCCTAATTATGTACTTAAATTTCTATATTCAACTAAAATATTTTCTACTTTAACTTGGAATATGACATTTTAGAGTTGGAAGGGACCTCAGAGATCATCTACTCTGGCCTCTAAAAGATGATAGTTCTACAGCAGCAAAGTTCACAGAGCAAGGTCTCCCCATTTCCAATCCAGTGATCTTCTCACTATAATACATTTCCTTATCCATTTTTACTTCCATGGTCTCCTCCCAACCTCATCTGCTTCTGCCTCTTTTGCTGTTGCTCCCTTGGAAAATAGAAACCAAACCCTAACATTTTATAATTGCCTGGACTCATCTCACAAACACTCTCCCAATCAAATTAGTAACTAAACCCTGTGAATTTTGCCTTATGTCATTTTTAAGTATTTTTTTTCTATCCTTTTCCACCTGCTCCCTAAATGACCCAGCCTCAGTTCTTTTCCTTCTCCAGTCCTTCTTCAAACTTCTGTGTGGCTCAGAATTGCTTGGGTTGCTTATTAAAGATGCATCTCCAACTCAAAATTCAGGTCTGGAGTGGAGCCCTATGATGTATAGATCCTGAGAAATTTCTCTAAACACAACTCTCAAGTCTACCACTTGTCTGCTTGAAATACTTTGTTGGCTCTTTGTACCTGTTGGAACTCTCACTCCTTCAGCATAAGTTCCTGACTCCTCCATATACTTCGTGTACCACTGGAGTTCCATCCAGCTCAACTACTCAAAAGTCCAACCTCTTCTGATCCCTGGGTCTTTACTCAGGCTGTTCCTCATGTCTTTATTCTTCTCAGTAGCCAAGCAAAATCCTACCCATCCTTCAAGGACACTCCCAGGAAGAATTAATCTCTTCCTTCTCTGTTCCTTGTTCCTTGAACAATCCAATCTAGACTTACCTTTATTATAGAACATATCTTAGTTGGTTTGGATCAGTGGTTCTCAAAGTGTGGTCCCCATACCAGTAGCAGCAACAAACCTGGGAACTTGTTAGAAATGCAAAGAGCATGCTTTATTTATTTTTAAATCCTCACCCGAGGGTATTTTTCCATTGATTTTTTTGGAGAGAGGGAAAGACAAATATAGATTTGAGAGAAACACATCAATTGGTCACCTCCTGCATGTGCCCCAACCAGGGCCTGGGCCAGGGAGGAGCCAGCAACTGAGGTACGTGCCCTTGACCAGAATGAAACCCAGGACCCTCAGTCCGCAGGCTGACGCTCTATCCACTGAGCCATACTGGCTAGGGCTGAGTTTTTTTGTTTAAACATCTTTCCTCAGCATTTAGGCTGGCCCAGGCAGTTGGTAGGCACTCAATAATGAATAAATACAGAGCACCTTAGAAATCTTTGCAACAGACCTTGCACTTTCATTGGCTACATACCCATGGCTCTTTTTCATTCTATACTTTAGACCAGGCTGTTCCTCCTCTCCTCCCTGGTCCTGACTGCCTCACCCAGAGCCAGAACTGTCCTCAGTTATAATGCAGATGGTATCAGTGACTAGATTATCTGACTGCTGGAAGGCTGATGGGATTATCTCTGTCTCTACACATCTGTGTTTCATGAACTCAGCAGAGCAATGGCTATCTGCCCATCTCCCTGCAGCCTAGTCCTCTAGCAGCTGAAATTTCTGGCAGGTATATGGAAAATACCTTCTCTTCCCTGAAGTGATGGTAGAGGGGGATGGAAAAAGGCAAGAGGAACAAAAGATCTAGACGCCACAAGATACGAGGTAACATGATAAGGGTACAGACTATAGGATATGGATTCAGGCAACTCCAGTTCAAATCCCAGCTCTTTCATCGTGTAAACCTAGACAATCTTCCTGCAGTTTAGTTTCCTCAGCTAAAAAATGGGAGTAATACTGTCCTACCTTACAAATAGTGAGAATTAAATCAGGACAACACAGCCTGGCCTGTGTGGCTCAGTGGTTGAGCATCTATCTACCCATGAACCAAGAGGTCACTGGATCGATTCCCAGTCAGGGCACATGCCTGGGTTGCAGACTAGATTCTCAGTAGGGAACATGCAGGGGGCAACCGATTAATGATTCTTTCTCATCATTGATGTTTCTCTCTAAAATTTAAAAAATTAGGATGAACACAAACAAAAATGCTTCCCATGATGCTAGTACAAATTAGTTTTTGAGGATTAGAAAAAGATAATACTGGCATGATACAGGGCTATGCCATATGACTACAGCAGTTATTACCCACCTGAAATAATATCCAGACAAATAGGTTTAAAAGTGCCAATTCAAAAGTGGCAGGTGTGGTGACACCTGCTGTGAGGGTGGGACTGCTGGCCTGGGTGAGATGGGATGATAAAGCCAAGGGCACTTTTTAGCGAATTTACTTACAGAGACGAAAACTACCACCAAAGCTGTGCTGATCCAGGCAGAGGTTAGAGAAGAGGCAGAAAGGCCAGGAGCCAGACACAGCTTGAGGAAATGGTCTGGATCAGATAATGCCCAGATGGACTTACAAACCAAAGCCAAGGGGCTCTGAGTCCTTACAGAGAATCTACACAAAATACCAGATTTTATTAGCAACCACAGATATATCATTTTCCACAACATCATACATTTATTCTGCTTCACACAGGAGAACTAATTCTAATGAATTCTCAACAATACATCTTAAATAACATGTTGCTGGAAAAATTAAGTTAAAATGCACTATGTAATAGTGCAGACATAAAGTGCAGCTGCCAATTTAATACATGAAACAATGCTGAATCAGTAGTGTTGGGAACTCATTTGGTTTTCTAGAAAATGATACAATTTGCCCATCTTTGGTCAGTCCTGGAGTAGTATGCAGGCTGAATGACATAGAAACTAAACAGGCTAAAATACTGACGACCAAACTGGGCTGCTCTAGAGTCAGTTTTACAATGAAGTGTTCAACAGCAATCTGCCATATTTCCCACCCCCGCTGTAGTACTTATCACATGATTAGACCTCCTCCACCATCCAGCCTCCAAGACAAGGGAATCACAGCCCAGAAGTTGCTGCTGGTCACGGATGTGTTTTCCTATCCACACTCGATTCAGTGGCAAGGGCGCACTTGAGAAGCGTACTTCTAACACGTCCACTTCTCAGAACACTGTCAGCATGTCCTTGGGAGGTTGCCAGAGGACATGGAACCAGACAATGGTTGTCATTCTTTATAAACAGTCCTCTCCAAAACAAAACAAAAATATTGTCTGTGCTGTGTGAAGAGGACCACCTTGTCCGGAACAGACTTCAATTCTTAAAGGGATCATATTAAAATTAACTTGTGGTTAACTCCCTTAGAAATGCTATTCTCAGATTATTCCCATTCCTAGTTTAGAGGCTATGGAATATACACAACCTCCCCTGAACCTTGGCTCCCAACTTGACCAATACGAATCTCAAGTCTAATTCTCTCAGGACTAACAACTCACTCATAATGCCACTCACTGTCATAAAGAGAATGGTTAGAGAAACTTGGATTTTCTAAAATTTATACCTGGCATGAGGTGTTGGTGCATTAACTATGTGCCATGACTAATTTCTTTTCCATAGGCTCAAACGTATGTACCACAGGTACACTGTGGTTACACACCAGGGAAGAACCTTTAAATAAAACTGACTTTGCAGTCATTTGGCTAGGGGAAACATCTTTGACCCTTCCTCTTACTCTCTGTTCCTATCTTAGAAGCCTAACCACCTATCTTTACTGAAAAAGGTGCTGGGGTAGGGCAGGGCACTATCATCAAAAGGCATCTTTGATGTTCTTG